GAAGGATTTGGCAGCAACGGCATGCCAATCACTTGCGGGGCCAGCACGGCGGTGAGTTCTTCCTCTGTTGCCGGGACGGTCTCGGCTTCGGAGACCTCGTCGCCGGCGGGTGGCCCCGCTGGAAGACCGAACCAAGCATTGTACGCGACCTCGTCGACCTCGTCCCAGCCGTGGAACTCGTCGAAGAGGGTCACTGCGTAGTCTTCCAGGGCTACAGCTGCTTCAGCGCAGCGGGCCATCACGTAATACGTGGAGGAACCCGCGGCGGGAGCCGCTTCTGGATTGACGTAAAACTCGTAGTCAATGTAATCTATGTCATCCATAAAAGAATTTTGAGCCAAATGTACGGATCCCTTTCCTTTCCCCTTCGGGCATTGATCGCGCAAATGCTCTGTGCTACCGCATGTATGACACTTCATAGTATTGCCAGAAGCGTCCCTAGGGTTGCCCCTCCGCCCTTTTCCCTTACCGGAGGTCCGCCTGTGACCCCGACCTTTGCCTCCGATAAGAACTTCTTCAAAAGCCATATCAGTTAAGGACGTGAGGAAAGCAGTAATACCCCTACCATGCATACGGCGTCTGCGACCCCCTTTGCCACGACCCTTTCCAAATCGTTTGAAATGTCGGCGTACTGCACGTCTCACCTTTCTGACTGGTTTCTTCATAAAGCGCCTCCAACGGCGTTTTGATTTGCGATAAGCCATAAAGGCGGCTTCCGCTCTTTGTTGTTCAGAGAGGTGAGTGTCATCCGCTGGGTAGTCATTACCAGCAGAGACTATGCCATTGTGCTCATCGTCAGATGAGGTATCCGTGTCAGTGCCAGATTCAAACGGTGAGGGTGGCTGAGACCCTTGAGCGGATGACTCCGCTTGGCCCCAGAGGGTTGTGCCCGAGGGCGGGCTTGCAGTGTAGGCGGCGCCTGGCGAGTAGTTCGACCAGGCGTTCGCCTCAGCTGCCTCTGCCGATGCCTGGCCAGTCTGCCCTAAAAGGGCAGTGGCCTCGTTGGGCATATCGGCTGGGTCAGCCCAAGGATTTGGCTCGCCAGGACCAGCGGGTGACCCCGCAGTCGTGGCGTAGACACCTGCATGTGAGTGGTGCCCTGTGAAGATACCCGCTATGTTGCCAGGAGAGCGCTCGGCAACATGTCCGTAGTTCCTCATCCTGGTCAGCAGCCTGTCATAGTCTGCTTGTGTTCGGGGCATCTGATGATTGAAGGGCTCAAGCAGGTGTTGGGCTCGTGACGCGCCAACGCCTAACGCTCTGAAGAGAATCAGCGTTAGGATCTGAAAGTTGGGGATGACAAAGCCAACAGAGTTAGCCTCGTCACGGGCCATCTCGAATCGAGCTAATACCGAGTCGATTCGCTCGCCCCTTTCGACGCGGAAGTCGATAAGGGCCGTGCCAGAGTTGAGCTGGCGCTCATCTTCCAGATTTTCAAATTTGGTGCTCAGTAAGTACAGTATATATGTTACTGCATCCGTTGGCTGTCCATTGACAGTTACACCATAATTGATGATCTGGGAGGGGACCTGCATGGCGATACGACGAGCCAGACCTTGAAGGCCTCGTTGTAGTGCTGCAGCTTGTTGTGGTGGTGTCATATTGCCACTCGTTACGTTTAACCATGCATGTACTTCGCGAACGTATTCGCGAAAAGGCGTAGTACCGGCAGGGTCCCATGAAGGGCCAGTAGTACGCGTGTCGTCCATCCCCTGCCGCATGTATCCCACAGCACATCCCATTATTACCCACAGAATGCCGAATATAGTTATCTTAATCCAATGCATGTGCATTTCGGCTTCGGTGATTGGTTTAGGCTGTGGTTTGTCAGGCTCTGGCGTAGTAGCCGTGAGGCGCCTGACTGGCACGGGATGCAGGTGGCCCCGCTGCGGGTAGCCCCGCAGGGTGACCACGTTCTCGATCGAGTTGCCGATTGGCATCTGGTGGAAGTCGGGAGTGAAGTAGCGCAGTGAAGTAGGAGAGAGCGTCTCGAGTTCGCGGGTTGCCCCGCTAGCTCGATCGCGGACTGGCTCCGCTCCTCGCAGAGCCGGCGCAACATGGTATTCCACCGTAGTAGTAGTCCACCAAGTTGTGCCGTGGATTACAGGAATCAGAGCGAGAGCCAGCCACACGAGAGTGTAGCCAGCTCCGCTACCAAGTCGAAAACAAGCTGGTAAGCTTAGGTATGTGTTACGCTTTAAGCGTTGCCATATCCCAGGCTTTGGCTCATATCGCATGAGCAAGAGTGCAAGACGAAGCATGGGATCTGGAGTAAAGGATAGGATGGGCATCGTCAATGGAAAAGGTATTTTCCGATCTCTGATGCAAGTCGTGCGCCTCAGTGAGGCACAGTCATATATTTGGCCGGGCCCGGCTTGAGCCAGGCACGGCAGCGGTACATGCTCGATTTATACCTCGCCTTTAACCTTCTCCGTTTAAAGTGGGGGGGGGGGGGGCGATACTACTCCGGCCGGACTCCCGTTCACTTGCCGGAAACACGAGCAGAGCCGTCGTGTTGTACGGGTGTATCGCGTGGCGCCGCCTGGCCGGAAACCGAGACAATCCCCGCACCAAGAGGAATCGCTGCTCGCGTGCTGGTGGCGCCCTTGTCGCTGTTGCTTCTGCAGGGCGCCGAAGGTGCAGGTGACGCTGGCGGTGTGCTGCCCACGCTGGGGCGAGAGCGCCGCTTGGACGGACTTTCGGCCATTGTACGGAAGTTCGGCCCCGATAGTAAGTGGGGGGGAGGCAACGGGGGCTGCAGAAAGGAGGCCCTTTAGGGTCCCGAATGAGGCCGGCCATTGCACGGAAGTTCGGCCCCGATAGTACATGTGGGGGGCAACGGGGGCTGCACAAAGGAGGCCCTTTAAGGTCCCGAATGAGGCCCAGAAGGAGGCATTCAGGGTCCGGAAAAGGGCACCCTTCTCCCCCCAATGATCGGCCCCCCTGATTCGCGCCCAGGAGAGGAAGCTGGACTCCGGGAGCTGTTCTCCCCAAGGCCGGCTCCTCGCCCCGAGAGCCGCTTCCCGACGCGCCTTGCGGCCACAGCGGAGGTCCCCAAAACGGAGAGCACCCCCCAATACCCGCTTCCCTCTGGACCCCTTCCCGGGCATCCGCCGACGCGCTTGTCTCAGTGCGCGGCCCCAGGCAGGCAGGCAGGCAGGCAGGCAGCTCCCAACTCGCCCCGGAGGGCGGCCACGCGCGGGGCAGGGAGGGAGGCGCTGGGGCGCTGGTCACTTAGTCGCCTGACGCATACCCAGACCCCCGACGTTGTGAATTTTTCACGACGTCAACCCCCAAAGGTCTGGACCCCTTCCCCAGGGCCGGTTTTTCGTCCTGAGCCGTTTTTTGACGCTCCCGAGGCCCGGTAAGGGCCCCCGGAGGCCGAAAATAGCGAAAAACCTCCCGTCGTGATTTTTCCACGACGCCAGGAGATGTGGGATAATGCGCGGCCCCAGAGGTCTGAAAGCCCGGCCCCGCCCCCGGGGGGCCGCTTCTCACCCCGGGTCCACTCCTGCCGGCCCCTCGAGGCCCGGTACAACGGCCCCAGAGGCGGAGACCGCAGCGCCATGCGGGGGGCGGGACACAGCATGCCGTCGGAGATCCATGCGGGGGGCGGGAGACGTCATGCCGCCGGAGATCTGGCTCTCCTCGAGGAGATGCCTGGTGCACACACAGATCTCCCTGGACCTCTCCCGCAGACCGTTCTGACCAGAATCCGGGCAGCAGTCCAGCCGTGGCCACGAGGGCTCTCCGGGACGAGGAGCAGGACCGCCGTCGTGCTGCCAGAAGCAGCGCCGAATAAGCAACGAAGGGGCGTTTCTGCCCGCGTGGAGACTGGTTTCCCCGACCTACACCTGAGGAGCGGCCCAACAAACAGAGCCCCAAGTGGTTCATATTTCAGCTTCTGGACTGTATCGGTAGACCCAGGCGCCACAACGCGCCACAACTTGCCACCGAAGATCAAGGGCTTCAGGTCGAGAAGACGGTGGTAAAATCGACCTCTCCCGCCCTCCGTTACCGGCCCTTCGTCCTCCTGCTCCTCCTTCTCGTCGTCGTCGTCGTCCTCCTCCTCCTCACCTAATTACCTCCTCCTCCTCCTCCTCCTGCTCCTCCTCCTCCTCCTCCTCCTCCTCCTCCTCCTCCTCCTCCTCCTCCTCCTCCACCTAATTACCTCCTCCTCCTCCTGCTCCTCCTCCTCCTCCTCCTCTCCTCCCTCCTCCGGCGGCGGACGCGTGTACCCGCGCCGCCTGGAGCACAGTGGTCGGGAGCCGGCAGACACCTCCGCCGTCCCTCAGGCCTCAGGGAGGGCGGCTCCCCTGGGGGGTCCCCGCTGTCTAAGACTCTAAGACGGTGTCCAACTATCTGTGATGGCCTTCTTCTCCCTCCTCCACCTACACCCTCCTCCACTTACCTCCTCCTCCTCCTCCTCCTCCTCCTCCTCTTCCTCCTCCTCCTCCTGCTCCACTTACCTCCTCTTCATCCTCCACATACTTCCTCCTCCTCCTCATCATCCCCGTACTCCTCCTCCTCAACGTACCTTCTCCTCCTGCTTTTCATCGTCCTCCTCCTCCTCCTCCCCTTCCTCCTCCTCCTCCTCCTCCTCTCCACCACCTCTCCTCCTCCCACTCCCTCCTCCTCCACCTCCTCCTCCTCCTCCTCCTCCTCCTCCTCCACCTCCTCCTCCTCCTCCTTCCCCTCCATCTCCTCCTCCTCCTCCTTCCTTCCCTTCCTCCACCTCCTCCTCTTCCTTCGCCCTCCTCCTCCTCCTCCTCCTCCACGACTTCTCTCCTCCTCCTCCACCTCCTCCTCCTCCTTCCCCTCTTCCTCCTTCTCGTCGTCGTCGTCATCCTCCTGCTCCACTTACCTCCTTCTCCTCCTTCTCCTCCTCCTCTTCTTCCTTTCTCCTCCTCTTCTCCCTTTCTCCTCCTCCTCCTCCTCCTCCTCCTCCTCTTCTCCTAATTCCCGCCTCCGATTCCCTTCATGGGTCCATGGAGCATCGCCTCTGGTCCCAGCGCGCGCCTCTCGTCACCCGGACGGTCCACGCGCAGCCGCAGCCTTTCAGGGCAGAAGCATACGACCACCGCCACCGAAGACCGCCCCCCCCCCCCCCCCCCCGGAGGGGGGGGCACATCCCTGAGGACGGTGGCACGCCTGAGCGGAGAAGGGGGAGGAAGAAGAAGGGGGAGGTGATGAGATGAGGCAGCGGCCTGAAGCAAGATCGGGGGGCCTAGTCAGGCCCCGGATCGGAGGCCTCAAAAACAGAGGGGCCTCCTCAAAATCTTCGGCGCCCGCAACACGCTCGAGGAGGCTCGCACCCAAGGCAGCAACGTCTGGGTGCCTTTTCTCCTCGAGACCGACCGCCCTGAGCATGGCGGCTCTGGACCCCAAGCCCTCGAGACCCCCACACCCCGCAGGCCGGCCTCCCCCCCCCGCCGTCACGTCCTGAGCCGCCAGGAGGGGGAGGAGAAGGATGATGATGATGATGATGATGATGATGATGATGATGATGATGATGATGATGATGATGATGATGATGATGATGATGATGATGATGAGATGAGATGATTGATTATGATGATGATGATGTGATGAGGAGGAGGAGGAGGAGGAGAGTAGGAAGGGAGGAGAAAAAAGGAGGAGGAGGAGGAAGAGAGGAGAAAGAGGAGGAGGAGGAGGAGGAGGAGGAGGAGAGGAGAGGAGGAGGCGAGGAGGAGGAGGAGGAGGCGAGGCGGAGGCGGAGGGGGGAGGAGGAAGGAGGAGGAGGCGGAGCAAGGAGGAGGAGGAGGGGAGGAAAAGGGAGGAGGAGGAGGAGGCGGCGGAGGCGGAGGAGGAGGGGACGAGGAGGAGGAGCAGCAGCCGGAGAGGAGGAGGAGGAAAGGGAGGAGGAGAGGAGGAGGAAGGGAGGAGAGGGAGGAGGAGAGGAGGAGGAGGAGGAGGAGGAGGAGGAGGAGGAGGAGGATGAGGAAGGAGGATGAGGAGGGGGACGAGGAGGAGTAGGAAGAGCAGGAGCAGGAGGAGAGGAGGAAAGGGAGGAGGACGAGAGGAGGAAGGAGGCAGGAGCAGGAGGAGGGGAGGAGGAGGGGGAGGAAGGAGGCGGAGCGGAGGCGGCGGAAGGAGGAGGAGGTAGGAAGGGAGGAGGAGGGATAGGAGGAAGGGGGGGGAGGAGGGAGAGGATGAGGAGGATGAGGAGGAGTGAGGAGGAGGAGGAGGATGAGGAGGAGGAGGAGGAAGAGGAGGAGGAGGAGGAGGAGGAGGAGGAGGGGGAGGAGGAGGAGCAACAGCAACAGCAGCAGCAACGACCACGACGGAAGAAGCAAGGAAGAAGGGGGAGAGAGAAGGACCGCGCCCCAATCGAGGCAACGCGCATCGCATGTCAAGCCTCCCACGGCAAGGCGACCGGGAAAATGAACAACGAGGAGGAAAACGTGAGGCGGACGACAGACGACAACGAGACACAACAACATCAGGGCCGCCCCGTACTGGCTGGGGTCCGTCCCCCCCCCCGATGGCTTGTCGGTAGCGGTGGTCTCCCCAGATATGCGAACCTTTGATTTCTTCCATGCGCGGCCCCCAGAAGCCCCGACCCTCTGTTCCGAAACTGTTTTTCATCCCTGGCGGTTCCCGTTGACGGCCTCGGGGCCTGGCAAGCGCCCTCGGAAGCCGAAAAATACAAAACATCTCGAATCGCGATTTTCGTTCCGCGACGCCCGCATGTCTCCTCGACCACGACCATGTCGAGGGGAGACAGTGAGCAGCAGGAGCAACATAATGGGGTAACGGAGAGGAAAGGGGGGAGAAAGAGGAAGAGGAGGAGGAGGATGAAGAGGAGGAGGAAGAGGAGGAGGAGGAGGACTGAGGAGGAGGAGGATGCTGAGGCGTAGATGAGGAGGAGGAATATGACAGGGATGAAACAGAGGGTAGGAATAGGAGTAGGAAGGAGGAGTAGGAAGAGGAGTACTGAGGAAAGGGAGGAGGAGGAGTAGGAGGAGGAAGGAATAGAGGAGGAGAGGAGAAGAGCGGAAGAGGAGGAAGGAGGAGGGGGAAGTAGAAGGAGGAGGTAGGAGGAGAGAGGAGGAGGAGGGTAGGAAGAAGGAGGAGGTAGTGGAGGAGGGGAGGGAGGCGGAGGGAGGAGGAGGAGGAGGGCTGGGTCTGTTTCTCCCACGGCAGCCGGAAGCTGAGGGTGCCCGCCGCGCCCCGCGCCTGCCAGCGCGGCGCCAGCACCTCGTCAGGGGCACTGCCGGGGGTGCCACTGGCCCAAGGTGGCCCCTGGGCACCCCAAGGAGGTCTCCACGACCAGGTGGGCATCCCCTGGGCATCCCCTGGGCATCCCCTGGGCATCGCAAGGTGGCCCCTGGGCATCGACGACCAAGGTCGCCCCTGGGCATCCCCTGGGCATCCCCTGGGCATCCACGACCAAGGTCGCCCCTGGGCATCCCCTGGGCATCCCAAGGTGGGCCCTGGGCATCCCAAGGAGGTCTCCACGACCAGGTGGCCGCATGTGGACCCTACCCCTCCTCCGGACAATTGTTTAAAAAGGGTGTGGGGCTTCACTCCGCTCGGGGGTTCTCGACCGCAGCGAACCCCCACCGTCCCTTTAGAAATCGTGCCGCGGACAAGAATTCTGTTCCCTTCCCCCCCACCCCCCACACACAGGCGACGAAGACACCTCGATTCAAGAACACAAGTGCTCGCTACAGCAACGCTGCGCCACCACGCGCACAGAGAAGGCCCCAAGGGCCCCAAATAGGCGAGAAGAACCGGGAACGCCTTCCCCGAGACCAGCATCGGGAAACAATGGCAGCACCGTGCGAAACTACGACCCGAACCTTGGGCCAGTTGTTGCTCATGATTTGTTGTCGAACCTGGCCGATCCGTGACACTACACCCCCAGGGCCCGAAAACGAAGGGCAGAATCGTCCGCTGTGCAAATGTCGGCGCCCGGATCTCAGGACTGGGCCAGGACAGCCGCTCTCTGCAGAGGCCTTTCAGACGGGGCCGGAGAAAGACGGGGTCTGAAGATCGCGCGGCATCGCCGACGCATCGTCGATGCATCGGCGATGTCGGCGGTGCGTCGGCGGCGCCAGCGTGGGTAAACTCGGGCCACGCTCCGCATCGAGCCGCATCGTCGACGCCTCGGCGATGCGGCGCGATCCTCCGACCGCGCCTACTCCGACTTCACTTGGGAGGCCTAAACTCTGGTAGCTCGTTGAAAAAATGCCGAACATCTCCACATCATGATGTACACCCGCGTTGACGCCCTTGTCGCGCACCTGCTGGTCTAGGACTGAAGAAGCCCGCTTCCTCGGGCACCTCTGGTCCTGTCCGTCTCCAGCCATTCGGCGTGTGGCTGGCTATCCTCATCAAGACCCGCCACAACCAACCACGAGGGCAGGCCGACGCCGTCACGAACGACGCCTCCGCTTCCGACTGTGCGAAACATCGGTGTGTGCAGCGCCCAAATCGCCAGAATATGTCAAACGGGCTCAGCGCGATGATCGCAAACAGTTGAACTGCCTGCGTCAACCTGGAGCCTGGCTTCTTGGCCTTCCGAAAACGGAGGAAACAAGTGCCTCCTCTGTCGTGACATCGCGGCTTCCCGGCTGATGCTTTGGTGGCCATCCGATGGGTGCCCCCCCTTTCCATGAACGGATGCCAACCACGGCCCACGGGTGTGAGCCTCTTGGCCCCTGCTGTTATGCGTTCGTGGGACACCTCGCTCGAGAGGCCCATCTTGGCCTCCGCGGCCGTCGGGGGGCCAAGCTCCGGACTCGCAGTCGGGCGCGGCAGCAAAATCAGAACGCACCTGCGAAGCCCCCTATTTTGAGGCGACCATTGCTCCTCTTCTGACTGCTGGGGCCGAGCGCCAACGAAGGCTGGTTTCATCACGACAACGTCGCGTGGACGCTGAGCCTCCGCGCCGACGTCGAGCTGTGGCGGGACTTTCGGCTGATAATTCACCAGAATGTTGCGAATTATTTCCACATCGCGGGAAGATACAAAACATACTGTGCACCCGCGTTGAAGCCTTTGTCGCGCACCGCTTGGCCTAGGACTGAATATGCCCGCTTTCTCGGGCACCCCTGGACCTGTCCGTCGGCAGCGTTTCGGCGCGTGGTTGGTTATCCTCGCCAGGACCTGCCGCAACCAATCACCACAATGCGGGCCCAGTGCGATGATCGCAAACAATTGAACTGCCTGCGTCAACCTAGAGCTTGGCTTTTTGGCATTGAGAGAAAGGAGGAAACTAACCATACATGTACACGTTCGACGGTCCACGCGGATATCTTGGATCCGCTCTGGCCTCCCTCCCAGGCGCGCGGAGCGCGCCAGGGGCGTCGATGGAGGCGCCGCAAATGGGCTCGAGTGCCGATCCGGAAAATCCGCGCGGAGCTCCGACAGTTTTTTTCCTCCGCGCAACATTTTGGAGAGGAGGGGGAAGGGAAGGGAAGAGAGCTCGCGAAGCACCAACCGACGTCCTCAACACGCTGTCTCCGAAGTCGGGCTGCCGGCTGCCGAATGCATGCAACTACGCGCCACCCGCCAGGCCCGTGGCAAAAACCCTGGACTGGAGCAGCGAGGCAGATGGAGCTCCGACGGTCTGTTTACGCAGTTGTTTCACCCTCGACTCGTTAAGACCCGACCCGCCGCGCACCGTGGCCGCCACGCCGTGAAGGAAGGGTGCCCCCGAACCCTCTCGGCCGCCCACCGGCGGGCGCGTTCCGAGGGGGAGGAGGAGGAGGAGGAGGAGGAGGAGGAGGAGAGGGAGGAGGAGGAGGAGGAGGAGGAGGAGGAGGAGGAGGAGCAGGAGGAGCCTCGCGCAGTGCCTTGCGCGGGCCGCCCGCGCGGCACGCCGCACTGATGAGCAGTGGAAGGAGGAAGCACGGGCGCCCACGCGCGGCCTTGCGCGGGCAGCGGGGGCGCGGATGTCTGCCCCGTCGACCCCGCTTCTCGGCGCCGCGCACGTGTCCATGGCGTGGACCCCTGGAGGCTTCGACCACTTCCCTGAAGGGTGGCGAGAGGGCCCTCCATGACGTCAGGTAGACCGGGTAGCCTGAGAGGACGTAGGTGGCCTCCATGACGTCAGGATGGCCAGGACCACTTCCCTGAAGGGTGGCGAGAGGGCCCGAGAGGGTGGCCCGGGCGGAATGGCCCCACCGAGGGTCAGGCGACTCATCCTGAGTCGTTGACGGCCCCAGGCCCCAGGGCCCGACGAGAGCCCCCACGGCAGGCGGCCCCAGCATCGAATCGAGAAGCCGGACCGGGTCGACCGGAGCATCGAATCGGCAGAAATCAGCAAAAGCCGGCAGCCAAATCGAAATCGGCTGAAGTCGGCAGGTCCGAGCCGGATCGAGTCGGAAACCGTACCGCGTCAAGCCGGATCGGAATCGAAATCGGAAACCCCCCCTGGGGGGGGGGGGTTTGGACCCCCCCCCTGGGGGGGTTGGGGTTTTTGGAAAGCCCCCACTGGGGGGGGGGGGGTTGGAACCCCCCCCCTGGCGGGGGTTTGGGTTTTTGGACCCCCCCCTGGGGGGGTTTGGGTTTTTGGACCCCCCCCCTGGCGGGGGTTTGGGTTTTTGGACCCCCCCCTGGGGGGGTTTGGGTTTTTGGACCCCCCCCCTGGGGGGTGGGTTTGGACCCCCCCTGGGGGTGTGTATGTTTTTGAGCCGCCCCCTGGGGGGGTTTGGGTTTTTGGAAACCCCAGGGGGTTGCCGTCGTCGCCCCTCCTCCCCTCCTTCCCTCCCTCCCTCCTCCCTCCTCCCTCCTCCCGTCCTCCCTCCTCCTCCCTCCTCCTCATTGGGGGGGGTCTGGGGTCCCGGGGCTTTTGGACCCTCCCCAGGGGAGGTTTGGGGTTCTTGGACTCCCCCATGGGGGTTCCTCCTCCCTCCTCCTCCTCCCCTTGGGGGCCAGAGCCGGAGCGAAGCCGGATCGGCAAAAGCCGGCAGGAATCGGCTGACGCATCGAATCGGCAGAAGCCGGATCGGAAGAACTCGAAATCGGAATCGCGAATCGGAATCCCGGAATCGAGTCGGTTCGAAATCGGAATCGCGGAAATCGATTCGAATCGAACCGGCGGAATCGGAATGACCCCTGCCAAGGGTCGAGAATCCTCAGACATTTCCGGCAATGGTTCTTTCATGACCCGAGGGGGTCCGGGCTCCTTCTTTAGCTTTTAGGGCGGGCCGGGCGTTTCGCCTGAGACTTCGTTACTACTTATGACTCTGAAGTTTAACATTGGCAACAGTTTCACATATGGAGGGCGAATCGTTTTCAGAATGTGGCTCTCGCATTGGCGCCGCGCACATTCGTTTTAAACATTTGCAAGAGTTTCACGGATTGAGGGCGGGTCGTTTTCAAAATATGACGCACGCCTTAGCTCCGCGGACATTCATTTTAAACACCTGCAATAATTTCGCGGATTGATGGCGGTTCTTCTTCAAAATGTGGCTCTCGCCCTAGTCACGGGTTCCCATGATCAGCGTACAAGAAATGGTGTCTTGGAATGCACAAGTCATGCTGATTCGCGGCGTTCAAGTCCCAGGAATGGCGTTCTGGCAATATTCAGAACCGTCAAGACGCAACAGTCAGGTAGATCCGTGGCTATGTAATGCCGAGAGCAATGTTTTGGCATTCTTCAGGGTACTCAAACAGGTGCATTCCAACTAAGCAGTTCCCTCAGTAAAAATGAACCGGTGTAGGGGCCTATGAAAGAGGGAGCTTGTTGGGAGGGTTTATTCCAACATCGTTGATGCCTCCTGGGTTTATACTGGTCCTTCTCCACCTCCTCCTCCTCCTCATCCTCCCCCTTCCCCTCCTCCCCCCCCCCTCCTCCTCCTCTCCTCCTCCTCCTCCTCCTCCTCCTCCTCCCCTCCTCCTCCTCCTCCTCCTCCTTCCTCCTCCTCTTCCTCCTCCTCCTCCTCCTCTCTCCTCCTCCTCCTCCTCCTCCTCTCCTCCTCCTCCTCCTCCTCCTCCTCCTCCTCCTCCTCCTCCTCCTCCTCCTCCTCCTCCACCTCCCCCCCCGCGCCCCCGCTCTCTGGGAACCCCCGACCGTGGCCGCGGCGCCGCGCGCCCGGCCCTCCACGTGCCGCGCCACGGCCAGGTGCACGTCGCCCTCGCGGCGCAGGGCTGCCAGGCGCCCGGCGAGGCTTGCGGCGAAGAGCGGCACCACGCGGCTGGCGCCGTGCAGCACCGGGCCCTCTGGGGCCCCCGCCCACCTCCCGAGCAGGAGATCGACTATCCTCCTCGTCCTCCTCGTCCTCCTTCTTCTCCTCTTCTTCTCCTCGCCCCCACGCGGCACCCAGGGATTGCCCGAAGAGACCATCCAAGGCCACACCCTTGCTCGCTTTGTTTCCCTAGATGTATCTCTTCGTCCCTTTTCCCGTCAGCTCTGAAGGGCATGGTTTCTGAATGGGCTGGTGGGGATTTTTTTTGGTCGCAGCCGCGAAAGACAGCGCAGGCGGCGTCAAACAGAACGGGCGGGCCGCGCGCGGCCCTAATTGCCCAACGCGCCAGCAAAACAGAGACCTAGACGGCACCTCAGATCACCGGAAGCGGGAGGGGGTGCGGGCTGTAGCTGCCAGGAACCAGGTCCAGGAGCGAGCGCATGCAATTAGCCAACCGAAGTTGGGGCGCAGCCAACATGGCGCGGGAGCGATACCAGGATGAAGCCAGGAGCGCCATCACGAAGGACCGCAGATACCAGCAAGGCCAGGAAGAACTCACTGACCAGGAACCTGGTGCATGGAAGTGGCGCCACCAAAGTCGCACACAACGCTGACAAGTGGCCGCAGAGGGCGAGGACAAGACGTAGGATAAACCACACGAGACGCCCATGCACCCAGCCCCTGAAGGGGGGCAGCTCGCTTGCAGTACATTCCGGGAGGTAACGCTGTCACCGATGGCCGCTGGTGGGGAGACTTTTTAGTCAACGGCCGCAGGCGAAGGCGCAGACCGACGGCGAGTCCAGTCAGAGCGGGGCCCGCAAAGACGAATTAACTTAAAGCCGACGGGCCGAAGCCTCACGCGGCACCTCGGCGGCCAGGCCAGCGAGTGGGGGCAAGCGGCTGACGGCGGCTGCCGGGGAAGCGGGTGCTGCCTGGGGTGCACGCGTGCATCGAGCTGCGGGGGCGGCTGCCGACCAGGGCGGCCGGCAAGCGGGGGCTGCAACTGCGAGTGAATTGTGAGCGCGTGCAACGAGCTGCAGGGGAGGTCTGACAGCCAGGGTGCGCTGGTGGGGATACTTTTTCGGTCGCGGCCGCCAGCGAAGAGGCAGGCGGCGGGCAGGGAGTCCGGGCAAACGGGCAAGCCTAATTAGCTACAGAAGGCACAAGCTGGCCGGCCCACTCACAAGCAGCCGCGAAGCTGAAAGGGAGCTGACGGCGGGGGGCATCCTCGGAGCTCGAGCACATGCACAGGACAAAATGTCGAGGAATTCGATGCCTGCCATGAGGCACGGCCCACACAGAAGCAAGCTGGTGGGGATACGCGGAGCGTGGAGAATTCATCTTCTCGTCGGATCTAGAACGCGACGCCTGCGGCTCCCCCAGCGAGAATATGGCGATCATCTCAGCAGACAGCTGGGAGACAGCTGTGCGAAGGTATTGCGCACCGCGCTAGCTTGTCTGAACTGCTCCTGTGCTTGTCACAAGGCTACGCAACAGCAGCGTCGAATCTACAGGCAGATGCGCATAATGCTCTTAGGTCTACGAACATTATGTGCATGCTCCATGGATTCGAAACGACAATCAAGCCTTTGGCAAACCGATGCTGTTAGTCGATCCCCTACTCGAACCTCGGGGCGCTCGCGGACAGGCTGGTGCCGCGAGCCCTCCTCGGAGGCGCCCGCCCACCCTCTGGAGGCCTCCCCCCCCTGGGGCCCGAGCAGACGGGGCCAGAGGATGACGCCGCATCCCCGAGGCATCGCCCAGGCATCTGCGATGCAGTGGCGATGCACCGGCGACGTCGGCGAGGCACCGGCACCGCTGGCGCACAGAAAACCGAGCTCCACGTCGAGACGCATCGCAGATGCACCGTCGACGCGGCGCCGATCCTCCGACCCCGGCTGCTCGGCTCCCGCCCGGGAGGCCGCTTGATCTGTCGATCCTCTTGCTCGGGAGCACAATTTCGACCACAACCATAATTTAGGCAGCGCCCTCGTTTGGAATGTTTGCGCGGGTGTCTGCAGCCCCCTACCCTGAAGCCAAGGCATGACTGACTCAAGGAGCCCGGCTGCTCGGCTGGCGGCCGCTCGCCTCGGGAAGCGAGCCGCCGCAAACAGCACAAAGAAACAGAGAAAGCCAGAAAAAAAGGAGGAGAAAGAAAAGGGAAAAAAACGAGAAGAAGGAAAAGAAAAAGAAAAAGAGAAAGGAGGGAGAAGAAAAAAGAAGAAGAATAAGAATAAGGACTACCTGCGAGTGCTCACCGGGGTGGGAGGGGCCTCCGCCCTACGCAGACGCGCCTCGTCGACGGCCCGAACATACTGATTTCAGTGGGACTTCCCAAATAAAGTCAAACACCAGGACGGGGCCCCGAGGGGCGGGGCCGGCGGCGAGGCGCGCTGGGACGTGGGGGGCCCCCGCCCACCGGGCGCGCGCAGGGAGGCGGAGGAGGAGGAGGAGGCGAGGAGGAGCGGAGGAGGAGGAGGCGAGGAGCGAGGAGGAGGAGGCGGAGGAGGAGCAGGAGGAGGCGGAGGAGGAGGCGGAGGAGTGAGGAGGAGGAGGAGGAGGAGGAGGAGGGCGCCCTCCTCGGAGGCGCCCGCCCGAGCCCCCCGCGCAGAGCGCGAGCACCTCGCAGCACGTACGAGGCGCTCCCCGGGCCGCCCGTGGCCGGAGAGAGCGCCCGCCGCGGGGCTCCTCGAGGCGCGCGCTTGCCGCCCCTCGGAGGGCCGACGGCGGGAGGAGGAGGAGGAGGAGGAGGAGGCGGAGGAGGAGAGGAGGAGGAGGAGGAGGAGGGGAGGAGAGGAGGAGAGAGGAGGAGAGGGGAGAGGAGGAGGAGGGGGGGAGGGGAGGAGGATGCGGAGAGGGGAGGAGGAGGCGGAGGAGGAGGAGGAGGAGGAGGCGGAGGAGGAGGCGGAGGCCTCCCAAGGGGGGGTCCGAACAGACGGGGTCGGAGGGTGGCGCCGCACCGCTGGTGCATCATCGCCGATGCACCGGCGGTGCTCCTGCGATGGCAGACGGGGTCGGAGGGTGGCGCTGCACCGCCGGTGCATGGCCGATGCACCGGCGGTGCTCCTGCGATGCACGGGCCCCCGCCCAGCTTGGCCCCACGACGGAGTGGACCTCTGACCAACAGGAAACATGACTCCCGATGCATGTTGAGCAGGCGTTGGGAGCACTCGGTCGCCACGTGGTTCCTTACGAGCCACGTCTACACCGCAGAGCGGCGGGGGGGCTGGGAAGGTGCATGGTCGCTGCCTGGCAGAGGCCTTGGCCCCGATTTCTGGCCGCCGCGATCGCCGCGGCGACCTGGCCAAACCGACCGGAGGTTGGGCTCGGGGCCGGATGCCACCCAGGGTCGGCCAAGAGGGAGGCGTCCAAGAGGGGGGGCGGGCGCAGATCATGGCCGGCGGCATGTGCGCGGCCCTGGAGGAGGAGGAGGAGGAGGAGGAGGAGGAGGAGGAGGAGGAGGAGGAGGAGTAGAGGAGGAGGAGGAGGAGAGGAGGAGGAGGAGGAGGAAGAGGAGGAGGAGGAGGAGGATGAGGAGAGGAGGTGGGGGCATGAACCTCAGGAACTGCCGCAGCCCACGCCACAAGAGCCACCCCGCCCCTGGTCGTCACCCCCCCCCCCTCTTTGCCGCCCCCGCGCCACGCAGCGACGCCCTCCCCAGACCTCCGACGGCACGAGCGGCGGAACGAAGCGGGGCCGGCGCGAGACGGCAGAGGAGGAGGAGGAGGAGGGGGAGGAGGCAGAGGAGGTGGAGAAGGAGATGGAGGAGGAGGAGGAGGAGGAGGGGGAGGAGGAGGAGGAGGAGTGATGAGGAGGAAGAAGGAATGGAGGGGAGAGTCAGGGAGTAAGATGAGGAGAGAAGGAGAGGAGGAGAGGAGGAGGAGGAGGAGGAGGAGAGGAGGGGAGGAGAGGAGGAGGAGGGAGGAGGAGAGGAGGAGGAGGAGGAGGATGAGAGAGTAGGGTGGGGCCATGAACTCACGAACTGCCGCGCCCACCCACAAGAGCCACCTCCCCTGGTCGTCCCCCCCCCCCACGGCGTCACGAGCACGGTCCGAGAAGTAACAAAAAAGGACTCGACGCAGGCACACCGCACCGACGGCACGAGCGCCGAACGAAGCGGGCCGTCGCGAGACGCAAGGACGAGGAGGAGGAGGAGGAGGAGGGGGAGGAGGCAGAGCAGGTGGAGAAGGAGATGGAGGAGGAGGAGGAGGAGGAGGAGGAGGAGGAGGAGGAGGAGGAGGAGGAGGAGGAGGAACGGCCACGCTGGAAAAGGAACCTGGCGCCGCAGTGCTCTCCCTGGACGTAGCCAACGCGTTCAACGAGCTCTGCCGGGACACCTTGCTACGGGAGGTCGCCGGCCGCCTGCCCGAGCTGGCCCAGCTGGCGACGGCGTGGTACGGCGGGGCCACCACGCACGGGGCGCGCCTGCCAGGTGCCCGAGCGGCGCCGGTCAGAGCGGAGCGCGGGGTTGACCAGGGTTGCCCCCTCTCCCCGGCGTTCTTCGCCGTGGCGACGGCGACGCTTTACGAGAGCCTGGCGGCGGCGGCGCGCCACGTGGACCCCGAGGCCAGGGTGGTGGCCTACCTCGACGACGTGTACGTCGTTGGCAGCCCGCGCGCACTGGCAGCAGCGCTCCTCGCAGCGCCGGCGCTTTTCTCGGCGCGGGGCCTCCGCTTGAACGCGCGGAAGACGAAGGTCTGGAACCCGCGCGCCTTGGACCTCCCAGGGCCACTGGCCAGGGCGGAGGTGCCCGAGCTGACGTGCGTAGGAAGCACCCTCCCCTACGTGCGCAACGCCGCGGGGGCAGAGGAGGACCAGGACGCCGACCCCGCGAGGGCGAGCTTCTCGCCGGCGACCGCCCCGCAGAAGGCCCGGGACCACCTCGACGCTTACCTCGCCGCTCTCCGCCAGCTCAGAGCGCACGGTCTGCGTGCCCAAGACGAGCTCGTGCTGCTCCGCACTTTCGCCAACGGCGCGGCCCTGCACCACGCGAGGGCGCACTTGCTGGACGAGGCTCGGTGTCGCAGCTACG